GACTGGGGGGCTCTGGGGAGGACATGGACGTGGAGAAGGGGTGTACCCAAAGAGGGCTGGGGGTTCCCAAAGAAGCATGGAGGAGCCTGGGGGACACCCTGAGGGAACTGGGTGACACCCAAGATGGGGACGGGGCCACCCAAAGGGACTTGGGTACCCCGAAGGGGCACACAGACACATGAGGGACACCCAGAAGGGCAGAGAAGGAGCCCAAAAGGGACAGAAGCCTCAAAAGGATTTGAGGCACAGGGGGATGGGTTTCAGCAAGCCACAGGGGAAGGCAGTGACAAAGAGGAAAGGAGCAGCTCCAAGGAAAAATGTTTCTGCCAAATATTTTCCTATATTTATTTCACAGGTGTGGGGCAAAAACATAGCCCCAAGCCATATTTTAGGGTGAAATCCCCCAAAACTTCTATCACCTGGGTCCCACCAGGATGTGGCAGCAATATGCAACCCTGCTCTGACAACTGGGTTCGGCTCTGACCTAAAACCAATGTGGTTTGCTATTTTAAAAAAGTAAGTGGTTAAAAGATCATCCTTAAATTTCAGAGCCTTAAGTATGCCTCAGACAGGCCCCATGCCAGTCCCAGAAACTGCAACTCCTTTCTCCCTAGCACTAAGTTTTATCTTTTTTTTTGTCCTAATTATGCCAAATGAGACACAAATCTTGAAAGTGTTGGTAAAAATCCAGGGGGAGAGGGGGGTGGGGGAATGGTGGGGAGTGAGACAAGTGGTTTGTTAGTAAAATAGGTAAATATTGAGATTTAAAATTCATTGTCAATTTGAAAAAATAAAAAGCAAAAAAATTGGTGCCAAAAAAATAACAATTTTTTTGTGCATATTTTTGTTTGGACATAGAGAAATTGAGGTTTCATCCTTCCACACTCTGAAGTCTGTGTTCAGGCCCTAAATAGGAAGCTATGGACCCTATGATTCACGGTCAGGAAAGGGACAGGGTTCTCCTAAGCCCTCCAGGTCAGTGCCAGGACAGAGGCAGGATGTTCACAAACCCTGCAGATTATGGACCAGGCAGGGAGAAAGCATCCCAAACCCTATGGGTCAGGGCAATGAAAGTGCAGGCCAACGGCCAAAGACCAGGAGTCAGGTCCAGGACAGGAGCTGGGCACTCCCAAAACAAATTGTCCATGACAAAAGCAGAGGCAGAGAACTCCAGACTCTGTGGGTCAGGGCCAAGACAGTGGCAGGGCACTCCTAAATCCCATGGATCACAGCAAATACCAGGTCTGGGCACCCCCAAAGAATTGTGGATCAGGGCCAGGACAGAGATGGGGAAACCCAAAAATCTATGGGTCAAACACAAAACCTCATGGGTCAGGTCCGAGACAGGGGAAGGGCATGCTAAAACCCTGTGGGTCAGGGCAATGAAAGAGCAGGCACCCCCCAAAGAACATGAGTCAGGTACAGGACAGGAGCAGGGCATTCCCAAAACAAGTTGCTCATGATCAGAGCAGAGGTCCCCCAAACCCCGTGGGTCAGGGCCCAGGCAGCTGCAGGGCACTCCTAAACCCCATGGATCGCAGCCAATACAGGGTACGGGCACCCCCCAGACTCTGTGTGTCAGGACAAGGGCAAGGCACCCCCAGTTCTGCAGTTCTGTGCCAGGACAGGGGAAGGAGCAGCACATCCTGAAATCCAGGAGTCTTAGCAGCAGGGAAAGGGCACCCATAAACCCATGAGTCAGGGCCAGGACAGGGGCAAGGCACCTCCAAACCCTAGAAATTACAGCTAGGACAGGTGAAGGGAACACATAAACCGCACGGGTCATGGCTAGGGCAGGGGAAGGGCACCTGCAAACTCCACACGTCACATAGGCAGGACATGCCCAAACTGCCCAGGTCATTTCCTGGACAGGGAAAGGGACAGGCACCCCCAAACCCCATGGGAGCTGGTCACAGCAAGGAAGGGTTACCACCAGCTATTTTGATGCTTTTGATGTCACTTGTGGTTTATTTTCTGATGTGGCAGCATCGGGCCTTTGACATTTGCAGGGACTTGTGATGTCACATGTGACGGAGCAGCTGTTTAGGGCAGGGTCAGGTCCCTGACTTGTGCAGGTGCTTTTGATGTCAGCTTCTGCTCCAAGAGGAGCAAGATGCCCATGGTGGAGCAGGTTTGCTGGCAGGACTTGTGACACTGTGGGGGAAAAATATGCTAGAGCACTCTGTTCCTGAATGACTGTGCAACATGGAAAGGACTCGTGCTGGAGCAGTTCATAGACTCTTGAAGGTCCAAAGGCTTCTTTTTGTAGAGTGCAAAGCCTTAATTTTAGAGTCTAAACTGTCAGGTTTATTTTCAAAGTCTAATTTTCAGGGTTCCTTTTTAGGGTCCAAAGTCTCAGGTTTAGTTTGCCAAGATTCATTTTTGAGGTCCAAAGCTGCAGTTTTGTCCATCTAGACCACCATTTTCAGGAGCCAAACCCCCATTTTTAGGGCTAAAATCCTCATTTCTATGACCTCAGCCTGTCTCTTAGTACCCATAGCCTTTTTTTAGGACCCACAGTTTCATTCTTCTGGCCCAAACCCTCATTTAGAAAGCCCAAGGTTTATGCTTTAATGTCCAAAGACTCGTTTGAACGGTCCAGAGTATCATTCTTAGCCCCAAAGTCTGATTTTGAAGGTCCAAACCTCCTTTGTAGACTCCAAAGCCTAATTTAGTGTTCAAAGTCTCATTTTCACTTTCTAGAGTGACAGATTTGCCTTCCACATCCTTGTTTTAGACTCCAAACCTCATTTTTAGGGTCCAAAGTCCCAAATTTAGTTTACAGAGTCTCATTTTCAGGGTCCAAAGCCTCATTTTAGGCCCTAAAGCTCTGGTTTTAGGGTCAAAAATTCTCTTTTTTTTTGGATCTAAGCCTGTGTCTTAGTGCCCATAGCCTTTTCTAGCACGCACATATTCATTGTTAGGGTCCAAACTCTCTTTGTTAGGGGCCAAAGCCTCATTGAGAAGTTCCAAGGTTTGTGATTTTTAAGATTCATAGACTCATTTTAAGCCCTCAGAGCATCATTTTAAAGGCCCAAATTCTGATTTTGACTCTCCAAAGCCTTATTTCTAGAGTCTAAAGCCTAATTTGCAGTATTCAAAGCCTCATTTTTACTTTCCAGAGTTATAATGTTGCCCTCCACAGCCTCTTTTTAGGCTCCAAACCTTATTTTGAGGGTCCAAAGTCTCAGTTTTACTTTGCAAATTCTCATTTTCAGGATCCAAAGACTCAGTTTTAGGATCCATCAAGGCATTTTTAGGGTCCAAGGTGCATCCTGCATATCCTAATCCTCATTTGAAAGGCCCAAAGTCCTCTTTTACGGTTCAATGCCTCCGTTTTGGCTACCAAAACCTCATTTTTACGATCTTAAGCGTTGATTCTAGGGTTGAAAGCCTAATTTTTATTGTCCATATCCTCATTTTAGGCTACAAACTCCTCACTTAGTACTCAAAGTCTCATTTTCTTAACGTCCACAGCCTGATTTGGAGTGTCCAAATACCCATTTTTTTTAGAATCACACAGAATCACAGAATGGTGGGTGTTGGAAGGGACCTCTGGAGATTTAGTCCTATCCCCTTTACCAAAGCAGGTTCACCCAGAACAAGTTGCACAGGACTTCATCCAGGCGGGTTCTGAACATCTCCAGAGAGGGAGACTCCACAACCTCCCTAGGCAGCTTGTTCCAGTGCTCTTGCACCCTCACACTTCAGAATGAGACTGCACATCTCATCTTCAGAGTCCGTGCTGTGCCTTGCTCTCCCATCACCACCTCCATTACCAGCCGGTAGGCTGTTCTGACTGCAGCAAAAAATTACCTCACTGCTGTCTTAAAGTTTCTGCCTTTTCCTCAAAGTCCTAACAAGACATGTTCAGGTAAGTACAGGCTAGTGCTGAAGCAGAAGCAGAGGGAAGATTTTGAGGATCCTGCAACAATCCTCCATAGTGTTATACAGACTCCAAGTTACAAGCATTCATCCAGAGCTCAAAGACCAAGCCTTTCTCATCTTTAGATGACTGCTCATGGCCAGTCATGATTCAGACCAAATGAGTGACTGGCACGTGAAAGAATTCAGACTACTGCATCTCAAGACAGACACAAAATTTAGGTGACAATTTTGGGAAAACCTTGACGGTACTGAATTTGAATTATAGACCAGATCTTTCCAGACACACATCTGTATCCTCGATGGATGCTCAAACCCTCTCTGGATGCAGCACAGGAGGAACCAGGAGCTCCACCCCACTTTTTTGCTCCCCAGCTACAGCATTTGCTAACAGAGGCTGATGCAGAAGGCCCCTCTGCACTTTCCCAGACCAAAGGGGAAGAGAGGCACTGCTCCCCGGACAGGAGTGTTGCTGTCTTTTGCTGTCAGGCAAGAGTGTCCCAGGGCTCTGAGCAGGAAGATCTTCTTGTTCTTTTGTTTGAGTTTGAAACTGTTTGGGGATGTTCAGTTATTATTTTTTCCCCTCTTCCCTCTCTCTGTGTTTCCTTTTAAATTCTTTTAACGACTTTCCCCAACGTAGTCAGCAGCGGACTGCG